CTCACCTGTGTGTTTGCGCTGGTGACTCACGAGGTGGGAGCGCTTGGTATAAGCTTTTCCACAGTTCTCATGCTGGCAGAAGTAAGGCCTTAAAGCTAAGGATCTCCCTCCATGTGCGCCTTCCTGGGCCCTGGAGTTTGGGTCTGCTCTCTGTGGAGCAGGGATGGGCTGCTCAGGCAGTGAGAGGCCTGCCTGGGAGGCTGGCTGACTCACAAAAGACTCCAGAGATTCTAATGACAGCAATGATTGGGACTCAGCTGGGGACATCCCAAGATCATGGGGCTCTCTGGGGGGCAACGTCTGACCCAGAGAGGGGAGCATAACCTGGGCCTCAGTGGAAGATATGGTTGGGGCCGATAACATCTCAGGTGTCAAAGAGGCTCTGTTAGAAGATATTGTTAAGGGTTCAGAATAAGGCATTGTTGGGGCTCTGAAGTGGGACAACATAGGGATTCTACTAGAAGTGGAGCCTGGCAGTCCACTGGGGGACATCCTTGGATGCCCAGTGAAGGTCATGGCCACCCGTGTATTATGGGGCTCTCCTAAGGGCATCACCTGGGACCCCTTGAAAAGCATCTCTTGGTGGGAGGGAGACACTCCCTGACAGTAAGTCATCTGTGAAGGACTGGGAATCGCTTGGGGGCAGTAGCTCCTGCTGTTCTCAGGCAGTGACATATTGAACTGCAGCCACACTTCATTCACATTCTGCCTTGGTATCTCGGCAGACACCAAGGGGGTCCTCGACATCTCTCTTCCTTGAGGAAAGTTCTGAATGCCTGGCACACCATGGTTCCAAGAGGTGTGCACCCCGCTGATTCCAGAAGGTGGAGGCGTGTCCAAGATGGACATTACATTCCCGTTACCCTGGGCGGGCTGGTGCGACCCGAGCCACTGGCTCAGCTCCTCAGTCTCCTGCTCCTCCGCCTCCTGCTCCATTTCGGCGTGGGGCCCAGGCCAACTCCAGACCAGACGAGAGACCAGCCACCGCGGGCGTCGAGAGCAGGTGGCTCTGCGGTGCCACAATACTGTTTTACTTTAGAGTTTTCTCCTTTATTAAAATGAAATAAAACCATAATGAAGCGGTTCTGCTTTCTTTCACCTGGTTTTTTAAGAAATCATATTCTTCAAGCAGTGGGGTCTATTCTGTCTTTATTGCTGTCTTCTTCTGCAAACCTAGTTTCAACTTCCCGATGCAATCCTTTATTATTTCTGGTTATATCCTGTTCCCTGAAACTATAATCTGAAAATTGAATTTATGTACATGTTTCTCTTTTTCTTTCCTCTGTTACCTCCTAAGTGACTCCTGTGCCAGAGTTTAGTTCTGGTTTCCTGTCAGTGCCGAACCTCCTTTCACAGTAATAGACTATCTGGCATTTGAATGTTCTGAATGTTTTGAAATAAACCTTTCTAATATCTGGCACGTTTTTCACAGTGTGCTTGACATTCTTTTCTTGGTTATAGATTCTGAGGTGTTTTTACTTTTTCCCAAAGTTTCTATTACTTCTACATCAAAAGGCATTAATATATGTTGGTCAGAATGAAATTAATTCAAGGGGAACGAATACTTTCTTCCAAAAAAGCAACCTCTTAAAAATCCTGCTTCATCCTTTTTGGATGAAGTTGTTAGGCAAATCAAGAATTTTAGAGTATATGCTTTTTTAAATATATATATTCCCTCTATAGGAAGAAGCATCTCTATATCAATAGTCAACTCAGACAAGGTTTTATGTAAATAATATTTTTTATTAGTTTCTACA